AAATCATAATTAGCTTAAAAAGTAAAATTTTAATTTTTTTAGAGTTTCCTCCCTTTCTATTGCAAAGCTCCCATATTATCATTATTTAAAGCTTTATTATTTTTTTGATGAATTAGAATCTATTATTTCACTTGAAAAAAAACAACTTATAGATAATAAAAAAGAAAAATACTTTACTATTTTGCATATCAAACGTAAAAAGTATATCTTAATGCATAGGTTTAATAGAATTAGATAATAATAAAGATATACTTATTGTTAATTACAAAATGTGTATCTTACTAAAATTAGCATGAAAATCTAATTCTGAATTTTTTTAAAAAAAGGCTAGACTTTGCATTTTATATTGATGTATACCAAATCAAACAATGATGAAAAACTAAATGTTACTACATTTAATCATTGATCAGCAGATCCAGGTAAGATGTATAGTTTACCACCTTATCACTTTATGCAGTATTTGATGATATACTTAAAACCAAAATATGTTAAATTAATCTCAAATAATAGACCCTATTATCACAATAGTAAAATGTACCATTAATAGTACATTTGAAGGATTGATATAATATTAAAATAAGAGGTTAAATTTTTTTAAAACCTAGAAAGATACAGCTATCTATTCTTATCATATACAGATCAGATCTAAATTCATTATTGATTATTAGTATTTTTTTAATACTAATAATAGTAATAATTTCATAAAAATTGCACATGTTATGAAAAAATATGTTAGAATTAGATTTGAAATACAAGAAGGTAATGATATAAGTGATATAGAAAATTTAATCAAAAACTTGTGTAATATATCAATATAAAAACTAAATCCTAATTGCGAATATTCTAGTAAAATAATATAAGCATTAGTTGAAATATCTAATATGAATAATTGAAAATAGTCAATAGATAGATCATTTGCAGATTTAATACAAGCATGTACTTTATTACATATAGGCAGTTTTACTAATTATTTTTCAATATAAATACAAAAGTCATCAAAAACAAAAATAATAAACTAACTCCTATAATTTCTACATCTTCTGTATCACAATTTTTATGGATTATACCAATGCTGAATTCTGATGATTTGTTTTTAATTTATTTTAAAATTATTTTATAAAATAATTATTAAATTATTCAATTTTAGATACTAATCATAAACATACACAAATAAATACATCTAATGAAATTTTAGAACAAATTAACAATAAAATTATAAATATAAAAAATAATTTTACGTAAAAAATCCATCTTATTTATTTTATACTGAATCATATATAAAATAATAATCTAATTGATTTATTTATAGTGTTAACATAGATTTTTAACTTGTATTTAGATAGGCATTAAATGCAAATCAAAAGTTTGGAAAAAAAAGCAGAGGAAAAATGGCAAAAAAAGATTATTGCATTATTATAAGGTTTTTTTCATGCAGATAATGCTGATAAAAGTAATCAATATTTAGCTAATGATATGTTATTAAAACTCCTTCATATAGCAGATAGTGAGAAGTTAGATTCTGAAATAATACTAAAAGTAGAAATAATTGAAAACTGGACTAGTAGATATTTTGTAGCTTGAAAACGTAAAATAACAGTTATAACTTTAAAATATCAAGAAAAAATTAGCAAATATTATAAATATTCTGAAATAAAAACAAGTATATTTTGAGCAAAAAACAATTTAATAAAACTTACAAGTATAATAAATCAATTTACAGGTCATTTGCAAAGTGAAATTATTTTAGTTTTATATATAATATTATTACTGAAATCCACAGATATCTAAAATAAAACATATAAACACATATAAATAGTTTTTTCTCTATTCGTAAAATATTTCATTTTATTATTAACATATACATTTTCAGCAGATTTGAATTATTCTAGAAAAAATTTTAATAGTACATTATTTTTAGTATATGATAATCATTTATATAAATAGTAAAATCCCTCTGAAAATCAGATATAAAAATATTACACATAATCAGTAAATTACAAATTAAGTATTTGTCATAACATTATTAAAATAATTACACTGCTGTATATTATTATTATAATTTGACTATAAAGTAATTTGTCATGAAGAGAGTTTAGTTAAACTATGATCATGATATTATAGATAAGCTATTAATTATATAAAAAATATACTTTTAAAATATTATATTACTATTATTTTATTATATAAATAAGAATAATTATTAAATATATATACAAGAATGTATACATTTATAATTAAATATGCATAGTGATTAAAGACTTTCTAAATAAAATAACTTTGATATAATCACATACATTTTGACTGATAATGATAAAAAAATTAAATTTACTTTCATTAAATTTATTTTGTTGTTACTTTCCAATTATGATTATTATCTATTTCTTGTTTATTATTAGATTACTTTTTGCTCATTTATTATATAAATTGATTTAGTGAAAATTATTTGCTAGAAAAATGTGATTCTAATATTTTTTTTACTAAAATTTAGCATTTTAATTTAATTTCATCAAAAATTAAAATACAATAAAATTATAATTTTATTAAAGTATTCTTAGAACGCATTTTCCTAGCAAATCTTCCATATGATAATTTTATAATTCATAGTAAACAATGAATAATTGATTATTTAATACTTTATGATAAAATTATACATTACTTACTAAAGTAATCTTTAATAACTCATGAAGTTATACTAAATAAAATTATAATGAAATAATTTTTTGAATTGTGTATTGCAAAGTTTTATTTACAGTATATAGTAATAGAATAGAAATATTTTGGATTATTTAATCAAATTAAATTTATTCAAAATATTGTAATTTCTTATCAAAATAACTTTACATGAAAAATGTTTGCTAAGGTAGTATTATTCAAACTAAAGTTTATATTCTCATTAATTAAGCCTTAGAATTTTTTATTTATATAATAAGTAAATTATGAAAAATAATAATAATAAGTTGACATCAAAATAAATAAAGTAGAATACAGGAATAACTAATAATCTACTTGAATGATATCTCTAAGATTTACTAACATAATATGAAAATTCAATTTATTTTATAATTTATTTATAAAATATAAATAAATATAAAACTAAAATATAAAATCATATCTTTATTTGTAATTAATGTAGATTAGTAAACCAACATAATCCTAATCTAATCTTAACTCATTAGATTAATTAATAATCTAATCTAAAGTTCCAAATGAGCTAAACCTCTTTTAAGTCAAATAAGTTGAGTTGAGTTGAGTTGAATTGAATCAAATCAAAAATAATTTGATTTGTTTAACTTAAATTGAGTTTCAAATAAACTCGAGTCTAAAGTTAAGCAAAACTTAAACACAAAATCAAGCCTAAAGTCAAGTAAAATTTGAATCTAAAGTTAAGCTGAATTTAAGTAAAAATTAAATAAAATTTTTTTAAAGGAAGTATAAAAAAAATCATTCAGATAGAATGATATATAGTTCTAAAAAAATAATAAAAGTTTCATTCTGATAGAATGATAATGCATTATTTTAAAGAAACAATAGAAAGAATCATTCCAATATAATGATAATGCATTATTTGAAGGAATGATAGAAAGAATCATTCTTAAGAAATGATTTTATTATTGTTCTAAAAAAAAAGATTTATTATCATTCTTAAGGAACGATTTTATTATCATTCCAAAAAGAACGATTTATTATCATTTCAAAAAGAATGATTTATTATCATTATAAAGGAATGATTTTATTATTATTCCAAAAAGAATGATTTATTATCATTCTAAAAGAATTATTTTATTATTATTGTTAAGCTTAAACTGTTCATCATTAAGTTAACAAAAATTATTTGTTAGCAGAAAGTTTAAATGCGTCTAAACTATAGAAGAAATAAACACAAATAATTAAATTAAAGTATCAGGTTGTTTTTACTTATATAAATTTAAAGAAGAATGAATTATTTTATGAGCAAAGATAAGTTTTAAGAGATAAAATGTTATTGATTTATTAGAGAATTGTAGCGATTCTGCTATTTATTGAGGTAAAAATACAAAATATTTATATAAAATACATCAATATGAAATAGATATTTAATATAGTAAAGAAATATAAAAAATATAATAAAATAAAGAAATTAAATATATTAGAGAAATGTATGAAATTAAAGATTGCTAAAGAAATTATAAAATTAGAGAAATTAGAGAAATGGTAGAAAGTTGAGAATCGTGATTGTTAAGATTACCATTTATCAATTATATTTGACGCAATATTGTGAGTTATAATAAGACTATCACTAATATCATTTTAAAAAGAATGATTTATATCATTCTTAAGAAATGATTTTATTATCATTCTAAAAAGAATAATCATTTATTCATCATTCTATTAGAATGATTCTTTATTATTCCTTTAAAATAATGCTTTATCATTCTATCAAAATGATTCTTCTATCATTCTTTAGAATGATATTTTATCATTCTATTAGAATGATTCTTTCTATTAATCCTTTAAAATGATGCACTATCTTTTTATCAGAATGATTTTATTTATTGTTCTAATAAAATGATATTTAATCATTCCATTGGAATAATGTTATTTATCGTTCCTTAAAATGATATTTTATCATTCTATCAAAATGATTCTTCTATCGTTTCTTTAAAATCATGCATTATTATTCTATCAAAATAATTTTATTTATCATTTCTTTAGAATGATTCTTTTTTTCATTCTATCAGAACAATTCTTTTATCATTCCTTTAGAATGATAATTTATTGTTCAATCAGAACAAATAACTTGAGTTGAGTCAAGTTGAAGTTTAAAAATTTTTTTGATTCAACTCAATTTAACTTAATTTTTTCGAGTTGAGTTGAATTTGACAAAAACTCACTCAACCTGATTTATTCAGAACTCTAATCTAATTAAATATCTTAATTCAATCCTAATTAATCCTAATTCCTAATTAATTCTAATTTTGACTCCAACACAATCCAAACTTTTGATATTTAATAAATAGTTTGATATATAGGAGATGGTCAGTAGAAAAGAAGAAAATCCAAAATTTTTGTTAATTTTAATTATTAAGCTAATTTTGTATACATAACTGAGATCAACCAAATGGTCTAATAATATAAATTTTAACTAAATTTGGATTTCTTCCTTTTCTACTGATCGTCTCCCATATAGTTAATTAGAATTTTACTATATCATAATAAAATCCTATTTAATCCTATATAATTTATTGCAAATTATAATTATAATTTTTTTTTTATATATATATTTTATTTTAAAAAAATTTTTTTTTATTTAATAGTAACATTTTTTAATTAATTTCTATTTTTTTTTTTATTTAATTTTTATTTAATTTTTTAATGGTTAGATCTTATAATTTAAATAATTTTTATTTTATTTATAAATTATAGTGCTTGTAACGATTAATATCTTAATTATTAATCAATGCTAACAGATAATTGAATAGGATTTGGTCACGTAGTGGCCAAATACTTTTAATCAGAATGTAAGCATTGGTTAATAATTGAGACCTTTATTAGCACAAGCACTATAACGATATTATCGTGTGATATTATGATATCAAGATTATGTAAGCTTTTTAATAAACTCTTTAAGCATTGTTTCATTTTTTTTTTCTCTTGTTAATATCTTTTTCTACACTTTTCTTTTTCTCTCAATTATTTTTTTTAATAAGTCTCTTTTCTTCACTCTTAAGAACATCAGAACTTTATATATTAAAAAATGATAGATAAAGAACCTGATAAATGACCTTCTAAAAAGTTTTGAAAGGCAAGTATAGCATTATTTTTATTATTATATGTATATTTAACTTATATTTTATTTTATAAATTATTCTTTAGGCTAATTAACAGTAGCTGATGTAAAAATACTGACTATTCAACTTCAACTTGGATGCGAGATCTAGAAAAGTTTAGGTTAAATATTAAATATTAAGATTAATTGCGAAGGTGAATATAAAAGATTAATTAAAAGAATAACTTTGTAACTTCATCTTTGCAATGAAAAAACAAGATAGTTCTGAATATCATGTTTCTTCAGTTAATAATTGTCTTTTTGCAATAAATCACTACTTAAATAACAAATCTGTTCTTCAAAAGCCTATTAACATTATGAATAAAGAAAAGATTTATAGATTATAGCAAGTTTTTAAAGGTAAGGTCAAAAATCTTGCAAATCAAGGGCTTGGAGAATGTAATGGATCTGAGGGTTTTACTGAAGAAGAACTTCTTATGATTATCGATCACCCAACAATGTCTGGTAAAAATCCTACAAGTTTATTGTATTGTATTTTTTTTTCAATGCCATTCTCTTAGGATTAAAAGGTGGTAAACATTTTAATTAGCAATTTAATAGTTTCATACACAGAAAAGACAAATATAAGGGATTTGATGTTATTCTTTATAAATCAATGACCAATCAATATAGTACTAATAATATTGATTCTCAAGGTGATAAATTATATATTCCTGAGATTTCTGGTATCACTAAAACATATGAATATTACTTTACTAAACAGCCAACTCAAGCTGATTCACATTTTTATTTAAAACCGTATAATATTAATGAA